CATGTAGGCAATGAGAATCCGTTTAATAGTGTAATCTGGTAAAAATATGAAGTTTATCTGATAAACTATAGAAATGTATTTTAGGTAACAGTAAAATTATAAATTCATGGGATAGAGACAAAAAGTATTGAATAACTTGAGTCATTGTCTACCTGGAGAACAACAAAGACTAAATAAAAGAAGGTGAGATTGTTCAAAATAAGATTTGATCCAAATGTATTACTTTCATATAAATAATATAGAATGAATATTAATGTTTTCATATAAGTAGTAGAGAAGGTTGAAGCCAACTTTAGAATTTCACCTTTGTTACATGGCAGAATAAAGTTACCCTTGATAGATATAGCAAAATAATGGAGGGGAGTTGGCTGAGAGAGAAGGCAAATGAATTGGTTTTAAAATACGTTGATTATCAGTGGTTGCCTAAAATATAATTTATGATATGACATTGAGAATTCTCAAAAGATTATGGAGAGAGACATGAATTTTATAATTATCTACCTTCATGCAATGATTAAGCCATAAAGAATAACTTTATTTGTTTGTTAAGGAGAAAGAGAAAATAAATGCCAAAAGTTAATTCGGGAAGCTAACCACAGTCAGGGAAGAAGAGAATGAGATGTTCTTGGCTAGAGTGAAAATTAACTATTGACCTAGGATAAGATTTAGGATAATGTCAACAAAGTTAACATTGAAGCGGTTTTACATTAAAAAGTATACTTGCTATAAATATAGGGGCATGAATATAGAGAAAAATCATCAAGTATGATTTAAAAGTTTGGACATTTTGCTGTTGCTGTTGAGGAATTTGAATAAAGAGAAGAGAGAGAACATTGTAAGTGGTGGGGTGCAAAAATTGGGGTGGGGATATAGAAACAAACAACCTAGACCACTGCTTTGAGGTGTCAAGGAGAGAAGGATGAATTATGTTCATCAAGAGAAGTCAACTGAATTAAGCAAAGAGGACAGAGTAATCAGAATATGTGAAGTCTTAGTATTTTTGACTTTACTTCTCTACTTGATCTGTAGGTTCCATAACTTATGTCTAGTTTCTAAAATCCATTGCAGAACTCACAATGTCATGGTTAAAGGATTTATTAAAGAAGTTAATAAGTTGTAATGCCAGCGAGCGATACTAAGGGTTGAGTTGTAGATCAGAATATGTTACAAAGTTGTGTTAAGTCTGCTAATAAATCCTCAATATGTATGCATTTTACTCTAAGCATCAACATGAAGACGTTCAACTTAAGTTCTGGGAATCAGCAAGCCCAACTTCCTGAATGAATGCCAGAGGCACCTGACTCCAGGAAGCCTCCGCCCGAAGGCATTCAGCTTCACTTCTTAGGTCAGCAAGTCCAGCTTTCCCAGTGAAGGGCCCAGAACGCGCACTCCACTTCACAAGCCACCCTCCTTTGCAAAATCACTCAGCTTTACTTGTTCCACGGGAGAGGAAGTCTAGGTCCCATGCTCTGGGGCCTTGTTCTGCTGCTGCTCTTCTGATATTGTAGCCGGCATCTGGTTCCAGGTGGTTCACCGCACAGGGATCTTGGGTCCAGAGGGCGTACAGTACTCCACTTCTGCCTCTTCCTGGTAATGAAATCCCTCCTCCTGCTTCTTAGAGGGCTCATTTTACATAGAGCAGGATCCCACTCCAAAGAATCCTATTCATAATTACTTACAGGTGATTTCTATAAGGATCGTCCCCAGCCTTACTAGACCCATGCAGGGAAAGGTAATTTGGTGAGAGTTAAAGTCTTTGGCTAGACGAGCCATTAAATAATCCACTGCCCATGCAGAATAATAGAAAAGCAGTAATTATAACTGTAAGTAAGCACAATCCCTGGAGGAAACAAGGGCGAAAATTGAGTTTCAGAGCCTAAGTGGAGGTCTTGGCCTTGGTAAGCTCTGCTCCTTGGCTGGTCTGTCAAAAGTTGGTGGTGCATGTTACTCATTTAATACATGCTGTCCCACCAGTATTTCAAAACCAGCAAGTCACTCCTGTTGAATACGTTTCAGCAGAGATCACAGTCCAAGGGAAGACTAAGAGGAAGGAAGAGGTGAGCCACTTATGAAAAATTAGTGACTGAAAACCTTTTGAATATTAGTGGAATGTTGTCTAATATAATGCCAGACGATAAGTCCCTCAGGTTGAAAAAAATAAATCAAACTTGCACTGAAGGCATTAGTGAAAAAAGACTCCAGGAATTGACAAAATACCATTTGACACCTCTCAACCACCTGATGTAACACTGGAGGCACTCCCTTGTTTATGTCAAGAAATTTGGAACATTGCTACCTGGCTGACCAGCTGGAAGAGATCCATATTGGTGCCTATTCCAAAGTACCGTGGAAGGCCAACAGAATGTGGACATCATTAAACAATATTATTAATAACACATGCAAGTAAAATTTTGTTATTCTTATTTTTGGCCTTCTTTGTTTCTTATTGTGCATTTTTCTTTTTAAAATATGGAACACTTCATGAATGTATGTGCCTTCCTTGCCCAGGGGTCGGGCTAATCTTCTCCATATTGTTACAGTGTTAATATATGTGCTTTTAGAAGCAAGCACTTAATATGATGCTAAGATTTTCTTTTTTTCATGCTTTTTCAGTAATTGCTCATTATGGGCCTATGTGCCCCCCTCCATGTTTTCTTTGTTTAGATATGTTGCATTTCATGGGTCTGTGATTTATAGTTTATACCAATTTTGGAAAATTATAAATCTTTTTAAAAGTAAGATACTACCTTTTGACCACTTTTCCTATCCCACTGAGACTCCTTGACATTATCCTACAGCCCAGTGGTGCACTGTTACTATTTTAGAAATTTGTATTTTCTTGTATCATCTCTGCTCAGATGTATTCATCATTTGTCTGAAAGCTGTAACATGTTTTAATCTCAACCTGTGCGTTCTTCACCTCAGATCATATCTTTCCCATTTCTAGAAGTTTGGCCTTTTCAGGACATCTTCTATGTCTTCTCAAAATAGAAGAAACTCCTCTCCTTCTCCACTCTCCTGACTATATAGATAGTTATTATAATTAATTTAATGTAATTGTTTACTAATTGTACCATCTATGTCATATGTGAATCCCTTTATGGTGAGTATTCCTCTAGGTTTGTATTGTTTTACTTCTTTTTATGGCTAGTAATTTAAATTAAATAGAAGTCATAATAATTTTGCATTTATAACAACTATATTTTCTATCCTCTCTCTCTTTGTTCTGTGATGTTACTAAATAGCTTAGAATAAGTTTGATCCTTGGTTTTAAGTTTTGGGTGGATGAGTTCTAACAGTCTTTAATTTAGGGATTATTTTTTCCTCACATTTGAAGCATATATAGGAGCTTTGGGAATCCAGTGTTGTAAGCATTGGATGTTAGCTAAAAGATGGCAGTTCAAACCCAACAGCTATGTCACGGACAAAAGATGAGGCAGTCTGCCTTTGTAAAAAATTAAAGCCTCGGAAACCCCATGGAGTAGTGGGGCTTTATGAGATGGAATCAATTCAAAAGTAGTGACTTTTCTGGTTTATTGAATACTCTTGAGGACAATACTCAATGTCACTTGCCTAAGAAAGTTATTAAAATCTGGATTTGGAAACACAAACTACTCCCATTTATGTAAGATTTATATAAGCCATGAGACTCATTCCACTTATGTTTTTCTGATGGGTCCCCCTAGTCTTCATATTTCCTCATGCGCATGCCCAAGTCAGTATTCCATCAACGACTTGAGAGTTATTTTTAACAGGTTAATGAGTTTTCTCTTTCTTCTCAGTGAAACTCTCTTTTCCTGAAAATTCTAATCACTTCTCTGAACTCAGGAAAACCACCCAGGCTATGATTGGGTTTGTACTTCCAGTTCACCAGGGTATGATTGGGTTTATACTTCCTGATCACCAGGCTATGATTGGGTTTGTACTTCCAGTTCACCAGGGTATGATTGGGTTTGTACTTCCTGTTCACCAGGCTAGACATGTTCTTCATGTTGGGACTTAGAACACTCAGGTGGCTCACCTCTTTGCTTTCCTTCTCCTGGACATCATGGATATGTGCTGCCCCTTGTCTAAGGTCTAAAAACTGCACCACTTCTCTAGTTGTTCAAGGTCGAAGATACATTTATCCTCTGTTAGCCCATCATGGATAAAATCAAAAGATTTTCGTACCGCCCTCCCGCCCCGAGAGCAATGATCTTAGAGACTCAAGGAGCTAATACATCTGGATTGAATAGTAGCATCTGTGATTGATGGACATTTCTTTATATTATGTCTCTATGGATGCACATGATCTAACAATTTACAATCTAGCAATTTTGTCTAAGCTAAAAGAAAAGGTTTTACTTTGTTCAGCCTGCAGAGAGTGAGCCATTATAACGAATTAGACCTTACGGAAGTTAAAGAAAGGTTGGGCCAGCTGCCACAGGGAGTGTTCTAGGGAATGAATAGAAAAATTAATAATGACCCATTAGTTCCGATACAGCTGTTCTATTCTACCCTCGAAAAATCAAAATAATCTTATCTGGGGGAAAAGGCTGGATGTATTTAGAGAATAGTTTCTTATTAGCATAGGGGTGTGTCCAAATTGTTTCTATATTTACACATGCTTCAACCAAGAAATAGAACCTTAACATTCACATTAGTCTTTCAAAGGAATTGAATGAGCTTTAGTTCCAGTTGTCCCACCATGAAATGTGGGACACCCTGGTTTTCACCCCATCAAGTTCCAAAAACAAGTGACACATGCTATTTGAGGAATATAGATTAAAAAATGGCACACAGTAGATTCATAACACACATTGTTGGCTGATGACCTCGATTGGCAACATTAGTTATAAAAATGAATGTGTTGATTCTATGAAATACTGAAATGATCCAGAATTTGATCCAAAGTTCAATCACATTAAAATTGATGGCTAACGAATGAAACAAAATCCACCGTAATTGAGTTAATCCCAATTCACAGAGCCTATATAAAGTCTGTGAGGCTGTGAATCTTTGGGGGAGCCTCATATTCTCCTTTGGAGCAGCTGGTGGGTTTGAATAGCTGACCTGACAGAGTTACTAGGTCTTAAAACGTAGTCACCATGGGTCAGTGATGTGTCACATAGGTGGATTTATAGAGAAATACTTGTTTTCTTGAACATATACACCTAATATGGAAAGACTAATAATTTTAATTGTTCTCTGGTTTTCAAGGCACAGGTTCTTCATATCAGTTATTCTTGATCACTAAGTAAATTATTTTGATTTTTGAATAGAGTAAAAGTCCTCAAATCTGAACAGGCTGAACATTATATATTAAGAGTTAAGAACTATTTTTATAGGACATAGGGTTCATACTAATCTAACACATTTGGGAAACTCTACGGAAGATTAAGAAAACTTGAAACTGTGCAAGACTGAATTTGAAGTAAAATTCATTGAATTTAAGCTCCAGGTCCACCTGGTTGCATAATATGATTAATGTTTTCATTTATTTACTTAATATTGAAATTGAACATTGCAGAGGTACAACTGTTTAGATTTCGATAACTGACATAACATCGTCTCCTTCCAAACTATGCAAGCCATCGGGTCCTTACTTCAGCAGGGGAAAAAGAGAGAGGAGAGAAAGAGAGACTAACCAGAATTAGGTTTATTCATTTTGGAATTCTATTTATAAACAAACCAAATCAGATGGACCCTGCGCCACAGGGTGGCCACATCTTGTTCCCATAAACACACACATTCTAATCACCTTCAGACAACCTCTCTTTGGACTTTGTTTGGCTTGATGCAAGGTAAAGTGCATCAGTTATTTATATACCTGCCAGCTGGAAATGATGAGCCGGGTTTATGGGGCTTTTTATTTTTATGAAAAGCATGAAAGTTGATTTATCTCACCCTGATCCTGCTGTCAAAAAGCTAGGCCTATTAGAATGGCTGAGTGTAGGGAAAGCAGCTGCTTTGGAGTGTCAGCGAACCAGGGCCTTTGCTGCCTAAACATATAAACAAGAAAAGAAAGTGTTTTAATTTCTGTATTAAAAGCCATTCACGAAAACAAGAAATTTCCAGTAAAGTGAGGTACAATAACTAAAGTGTACTGCCTTTTCACGATCAAGCTTTTTCATTTTTATTTATTTTTTCAGTAATGATGGGAAATGATGAACACTTGGATTTGCGTCCTCTCAGAAATGTTCCTTTTTCTAGAAATGCTTCTTTTTCCTACTGCAATTAGTTATTCAGAAAACCTTGAGTTAAGCCCACTACCATGGAGTTGATTCTGTCTCTATATAGAGTTTTTAGAGACTATAAGCCTTTACTAAGCAGACAGCCTCATCCTTCTGCAGCATGATTCAATTTGCTCAGCTGTCCAATGCCGAACTCGCAGGGCCACCAGGGCTCTGCTGTGATTCAGAACGAGACTGTTTTTTGGCATGAGTCCATTCCTCTGGTCTTAGAGCCTCATGCCCGTGAAGTTGTTACCTGTCCTAGTTCACCTGTCAGAAATTGATAAACCAGAGCCCTTACCTAGATTGAGAAGGAGCGTGGATCAAGTGATAAGGGCTGTATACACTACAATCGGGGTAGGATATATGGTAAAAGAGATTTAAAACAACATGTGCTTACAGAATAAGCCAATACTTTGTATTTGAAACCAATTATGTTTTGAATAGAACACAAAAAAATCGCATTATATGCAAATTTGGAGGACTAGTATCTTACTGTTCAGGAATAACAGACCTAAAAAGCTTCCCTTTATTATTATTGGCAAATTATTGTTAGTCAATTATAAAATTATAAATATGGAAAAGCTATAAAGTCCATTGTTCTTTTATTAAACATTTATTGACCAATCACTAGTATTTAGGCCTTGTGAGGACATCACAGTTAAATACATTTGATCAGCCTGTTTTCATGAGGAACCTATGAGCTAATATAAAACAAAACAAAACAAATTCGCTACCACGGAGGTGGTTACAAATCACAGTGAGCCTGTGGGGCAGGAGAACTGCCCTCGGGGGATTCTGAAGCTGTAGTTCTCATCTTTCTCTCTGGGAATGTCTGGTGTGCTTGAACTGCTGACCTGGAAGTTAACAACCTAACTAGTTGCTTTCTAGGCCACCAGGGCTCCTTTATAATACGGGAGATTTAATATTTTAAATTTTCTTTCCAATAAGATATGTTTATGTGGGAACTGACCTTCTAGATGAATAAAAATCTCTCTTACATTTCTAAAACCTGTACAGCGATAAGTGGAGGTGGCCTGCTGGACCCAGAATTGGGTTAAGGCAGAGACAACTGGATCATGTGAATAGAATTTTCACCCAATGCTATTTTACAATAAGTTTATTGTGTCTATGGACCCAATTTTCAAAACCAAACCCATCGCCATAGCATCAATTACAACTCAGAGCAATATTACAAAACAGAATAGAATTTCCCCATCGAAAACCATGTGATTGTTTGATGGCCAACACCAGTCCATTTCCGCTCACGAATGCCAGGATCTTGATCTTGGTGCATTCCATTTCGTTTTTTGACAATGATCAATTTTCCTAAATTCATACTTTGTACAATCCAAGTTC